CAGAGCAAAGACGGCGTTAAGACACAAGCAGGAAACATAAAACCTGCAAAGAGTCCGGCTGCAGCTGCCAGCTCTGAACTGTTACCTGCACGGAGCATGGACGGCGGTTTGGACGCAGGTCGACATCAGAGCACGGAGAGTAAAAAAACGGAGAGCTCAAACATGACCTCTGCGTCTGAGGCGGCCGTGCAGAACATCCCTGAACGCGCTCCAGAGAGCGTGCTGTCAAAACAGCAGCCGCTCAACATCTGCTCGTCGAATACAGAACCACATTTTCCTATCACAACATCGACATCTGCTTCTGCGCTGGGAGGGAAGACGTGCGGTTCAGGAGTTAAAAGCGAGGACAGCCTTGAAAATGTGCAAGATAACAGATCAGCTGTGGAAGAAACAGGAAGTCACAAAAGTGTGGCAAAAGTTCAGCTCGCCCCAAAAGTGGAGCAGAAAAAGGAGGCGTCCACAGCACATATAGTCTCCTTCTTTAACAATGTTTCATCAGGTGTCGATAAAAAGGATAAAACTGTGTCTGTCAGTGCAATAGAGAGCAGTAGCGTCGCTCTGCAGAAGAAAGAAGATCAACCAAAGACGAGGAATGTAAAAGATTCAGAGCAAAACTGTCCGGCTGAAAAAGCACAAAACAAATCGTCCGATCCAGACTTTTGCACCTCTAAGAAAGACGAGCCTGTCATCGGTGGGGTCCCTGCAGCTAAACAGAAATGTTCAGAGAATGCTTTGAGTCCCAGGAGTAAGCCGAGGCCCGACGCACAACAACCTGTAGCAAACAGCGCTGTGAAGACGGAGAGGGAGGTTAAAAGCTCTCCGCTCGCAGCGCCCAAACTCCAAAGTGTGAATTCAAAACTGTGGAAAGAATCGGCGCCCTCAAATCCAAACATTCAGCGAAAAGACGCCCCGTTGCCGTCCAGCGAGGTCAAGGTGAAGCGGGAGGAAGCGCTGCCGTCGGCTCCTTCTCTGAAAGAAACCCAGCCTAAAAGCTCTGTAGCCCCTTCAGCTCAAAATATCGACTCAAAACCAAAACTTTTCCCCGCTAAAACCGCCCCCTCTTGTCAAATCTAAAGACTCCTGTAGCTCCAGCACCAGTCGTCAAACAAGTTCCTGAAACCAAACAGAAAGACCCCTCCCCCAAAAAGCAAACTCCCGTCGTTAAAAACCACCAAGACGCAAAATTCAAACATGTCGCCTCCCCTCTGACCGCACCTACACAGCTGTTGTCCAATCACCCCCCGCTCCCTGATCCACTTCCCCCCGTCCTGCCAAAACCTGCAGTGAAAAAAGAAACCACCTACAAGGGGGTGTAGGCAGGATCTCCACCTGTGCCCCCCAGGAGACTTTAAACAAGGTGTCCAAGGAGGGCCAGAAGGACGTCGGCAAAGGTCCAGAAACCAGAACCAACACCACGCCCGACAAACAGCCGGCCTGCGGCAAGAAGGAGGAGAGGAAGAAAAGAGAAACGGTGCAAGAGGTCGCGTCCGTGCAGAAAAACACAAAAAGAGACGCGTCCCGAGCGGCAGCGCCCCCCGTGCAGAGAGACGGTTCAGACAAAGACTCGAGCAGGGGGAAGCAGCAGAAAGAGTCCCCGAGGAGCGCCGGCAACAAAAAATGAAAAGAGGGGAAATTTAAAAAAAAAAAAAAAAACAGACAGCAGACGTATTACCATGTGAGATAAGTTTTGTTGCAAACATCATCATGCCTTTTTTTTTTTTGTGTGTTTGAGGACCGGACAAGCTGTTACACGCTGATTGAGAGAAATGGTGTGTGTGTGTGTGTGTGTGTGTGTGTGTGTGTGTGTGTGTGTGTGTGTGTGTGTGTGTGTGTGTGTGTGTGTGTGTGTGCGTGTGTGCGTGTGTGCGTGCGTGCGTGTGTGTGTGTGCGTGTGTGTTCGTTCTAGGTCTGAATGTAGGCAATCATGTGCTGATCATTTCTGGTGTTTTTTTTTTTACTTTTTGTGAAAAGTGAAAGTTTGTGTTTTCTGTTTCTCGCAGAATGATTTGTGCAATCAGAGCGTCGGGGGGGGAGGGGGGGAGGGGGGGCGACAGGCAGGGAAGTAGCCTTACGAGAGAAGTTGTGATGTACTGTAGAGTCCGTGCCATAAAATGATTTTTTCAATTGCACTCTTATACTCGTCGTCTCGGAGGACCTGATGTCTTTTAAATGCAGTAGGCCGCACGATTCAGCGGCTCTATCAAGATTGTTTCCGTTCCTTGAAATTTGACCTTTTTTTTTTTGTTTTTGTTAGGTGGGGTTTGGTGTAGTGGTACACCAAGGGAACTCACTAGATCCTGCTCTTTTTTTCGCTTAAAAAACTACAGAATCATCTCGTGGTTCTAGACGTTTAGAATTAGTGAAGGGGCCTTAGACTCATGGGAATTTAAAAAAACTTGCTGTTCTTAGCAAGGTGTTAATGGTGTTAATTCACATTCCTCTGACGTGTGTACATATATTTTTTTGATTTTTATGCAATAGGGGGTGTAAATATGAAAACACTGTAAAACTGGGAGACACGGGGCTTACACGATTGTCGTTTGTATCATATGTATAGATTTTGCAGCGTATTAGAGTCAAATGTTCCGCTTCTTGGTCTAAAGTAAGCTACCGTGATGTGTCTCGTCAAAGGCATCCTCTTCTTCTTCTTCTTCTTCTTCTTCTTCTTCTGCGTGACCTTTCACATGTTCCAAAATTGACTTGAAGAAAAACAGCGCGATATTTAAAAAAAAAAAAAAAAAAAACGGAGTAAGGAGGAGTCGAGTGTGCTGTTTCTAAACATGTAGCATAAAATAAGAAAAACTGTGAGGGCTTTTGAGCTTTCCTCAGAATGTCTTTAATGTCGATGATGTGTTTGCCGGCTCACTACGAGTTTGAGTTTGGTCAAATGTGTGTAACAAAAAAAAAAAATTAAGGGAAAGATTGTGTTTCTTCAGCTGCGTTTCCACCAAAACAACCCGGGGACTTTTTGTCAGAGGTAGTACTCTTCAGGGAATTTTAAAAGGTTCCTCAAGACCATGGTTGTCGGTTTTTCGACACGTGTAGAGAAGTCAAAAACTTAAGTCGCTAATGTGTGAAAGTTTGGGTACCATCAGAAAGTCATAGACCTCTAACAGGATCTTATTTAGGGGGTAAAACTAGACCCTTGTTGCCGCAATGGAAACGCACAGAGTACCTTCTAAAGTTCCTTGAGTGGAAACGCAGCTTTTGGTTAATTGACCTTATTTACACAGGGAATGTTTTCTTCTGACATCACGCTCAGGCTGGGAAGTTTGTATTTGGGTTTAATGCTGTCATACTTTATTCCAGGTTTTAAATTATACAAATTAAGGATATCTGACAAGTAAAATATAATCATCTGAGAACTTCTAGCGACATATCGTCCAATACATTAAAGGAAAACAACCCGTTTGATGAAGATTCAGCTAATGTTGGAAAACAGCTAAAGTTAGCTCCTTAAGGCTAATGTTAGCATTCAACCACTTCCTTGCCAACGTTAGTTTTATCCATGAATTTACGCCCTTTCTAGCTTGTTAGCGCTCCGCCACTTTCTAACAAACGTGTTAGCTCTCATAACAGCTAAGCTACAGTAAGCCAACAACTAGCATTAACTCTTGATAACAACTAAGCTACACAAAGACAAAAACTGTCATTAGCCCTTGATAACAACTACGCTAGTGTAAGAAAAAAACTATTGTTAGCTCTCGTAACTACGCTACACTAAGACAACAACTAACATTAGCTAGTAAGCTATCATCAATCAACAGTTGATGTTTGTATTTAACCTCTCTTATCGTAACATAACTCTATAACTCTATATTTTAAGTAGTTGTACAACACATTTCAGTAAAGTAATTTAAGCATTTAGTCACTTTCAGGCTAACAAGCTAACAGTTATAATAGGAAGTAAGTGGCAGAATGCTAACATTAGCTGTTGTCTAAGGGAAGCTCAACTCGAGCCTAAATGTTATAAATATGTTTGTCTTTACTTGAAATATGTCTAGAAGTCCCTCCAGCAGTTCTGTGTTTATGAAACTCTTGAGGGGAGTTTGAGCGTCCCACCCTGAACGTGATGTCAGAGAAAAATGGCTGCGGAGTTAATATGGTGAACAAGAAGAGCTTCTTGTTTCCAGGTGATAATGCAGTGGATTTCTGAATCATCTCCAGTGATGTCTGTAGCCACTCAGAGTGATACAACACAAATCATTAAGAGGAAGGTTTTTACGTTGGAGTACACAGGGTCTCTAAGGATTTTGATGTCAGGTTTCCGTCTCTCTGTGTTGTGTTTTGATCTCTTGATAATGAGCAGCAGCTAGCTTAAAAGCTTCACACGAGTAAAGATTTTATACAATGAATCTCCATAATTTGCATTGCATAGTTCACAACATTTAATGTTAATGTGCAAATACTTGGTACTACACATATAGGCTCATATATCCGCATTCACTTTCTGCAATTTATGCGCACACTCAAACACGTCTTTCTATATTATAGATGCCTTTTGTTAAGTTTCCGACCCTGAAGGACAACGGGAAAGTAGCCTAGGACACTTAAGTATGTAGTGCCGTATTTGCTCTGTTGTACAAAACAATAATCAACAAATACTGAAAGAAAAAACTTCATTTACACGACACAAATGATGACTACGTCCTTCTGTATCCAAGGATGAAGGAGAAACAGATGAGTTTGATTGCAGAGACTTTTTTAAAAACAATCTGATGCTGATGTGCATTAGATATTAGATGTAAATGTATCGCTAATGTTATTCTAAGAGAAGAAATGCACCTTAATGTTTGCCATCATTCAGTTCAAAGGGAGAGAGGAAAAGTGAAGTAAGAACTGAACATGGTTTATAAAAAATCCCCTCTTCAGATTGAAACGAATTGCTGAATTTTATTTGAAAATTGAAACATGTCTTTTCTTTCCTGTGAGACTGACATTTAAATCCTCAAAGCACATTCAATGTTTGTTTACAAAGCATCATGGATGTATATTTTGTATATTGTTGATTTGCCAAATCTATGTTCTGTGTCACAGATAATGTTGTTTCTAGTAGGATGTTCACTAAGAACGTTTGTTTGTGCAGTAATCAACGTCTCTTCATGTCAGGTTTCTTCTTTGTCTGTCTGTCCTTTTTTCTTTTTTCCTTCCTCTGTGAAAATCTAGTATTAGATGAACTTATACTTACGATGGTTTGTCTTTTAGAATATGTGCAATAAAAGTGTTTTGAGTTTTGTATTTTGCCCAAGGAAATGTCATAGATGTTGTATATTAAAACAGATATTTATACTTCTAATGTTGCGTAATATTGAAAATAAAATGGAATTATGAATTAATCTGTCATCACTCTCTTAATTCAAGGTGTCATCTGCATACAGTGTTAGTTTTTGGTTTTGTCAGATTGAACTGTTGTCTACCATGCTGTGATCAAGAGTCCATAATATTTAAAGGCCTCCTCCTCTTCAGCTCCTCAAAACGTGTGTGAAGTGTCTTGTTCTAAATCCACTCTGATCCTGTATTTGATCATGTCTATAAACCCCTCTATTTCAGCCCTGCTCAGAACAGGCTGTTTCTGTGTCTGTACCTTTAAATATGTAAATGAGCTGTGTCTGACCACGCCCCCTCTCTGGAAGGGCTTTGGGTGTACTCGGTGCTTTCTCTCTCCATGTCCTATTGTTTACGGTGAGAAGGCAGACTCAGAGGGCAGAACAAACACCAAGCTGTGGGAGTGTCACCCACCTGGGGGAGGGGCTACTGCCCTTTGTGATGTCATGAAGGGAAAATCTTCAAACGGCCTGTTTGAGCACATATTTTCTGAAAAGTGGAGCAGGCAGAAGACGGAGCGGATGGACTTTTCTCATCATTGGAGGGTTTGTAGACGGACTAAAGACACATTAGAGTTAGAGGAACATGGTGAAGTGGATTTTGCATAATATGTGACCTTTAAAAATGAATGACTTCTCGAGTCCACAGTTTAGCTTTGACTGCAAAAGCACCATTTGAGCGTAAGTGGGGGGCAGCCAAGACGCCCATGTCTGACGATGTAAGTGCCTAGATGAAGAGTAAGGGGTTAGGGTTACAGTACAGGGGAGCCATACCTTTAAATCGTTTCTGAAGCGTATTGGGAGCCAGTGAAGGTATGCTAGGACAAAACTGATGTGCTATCTGACAAAGATGTGTAGCTGAGGGAGGCTTTAAACCCCAGCTACCCCTACCTGTAGCACTGCATTAGCTTTATACCTCATTATACAGTATGTCAACAACATACGCTTGCTGTTGATAGGAGTGGTACCATGAACATGTTGACTTGTGTTTTGTAATTTTTGTATGTGATGCTTCTCTGTACACTCCAGGGGATCTCCAAGAAATTCTTAAACTTAAACTTAAACTTTGTTTTTCCTGATTAAGCTTTGAAAAAGAAACGGAAAAAACATATTCGGCTTACAAAACAAATATTTTCCTCTTCAGTTTGCAGAGCGAGCTTCACTGTGAATGGTGCAACAAACCATGAAGTACAGTGTTTATACCAACAGGGGGCAGCAACCTTCCACCTGTGTACACTGGGGTGGTTACTGCTCATACAGTGATGTGGTTTAGTTTAGTGTGCAGAGATCCTCTTAAGTTCTGATAGCGCTGCATAAACTCATATTTTA